TCTCTCCCAACGTCCGGTGGCACCCAGCATTCCTCACCTGCCAGTCTCTGACTACGTCTTCACATGACTGCCATCCGTCTGTCTCTGTCTCTGTGTCCTCACCTCTTTTATAAGGACACCAGGCAGATTGGATGAGGCCCCACCCTACTTCAGAATGACCAACCTCTCCTTAACTGATAACATCTGCAAAGACCCTATTTCCTAGCAAGGCCCATTCTCTGGTCCCAGGGTTGGGACTTCAACCCATCTTTTGGGATGATACAATTTGTTCCAAAACAGCAGGCCAGAAGGAAGGGCTTGGCATGGGGAGTGAGGCCTGCCACAGAGGAGCACTATGAGAACCTGGGATGAGCACTTCACCCAGGGAAGGCTTCCTTGAGGAAGTGACACTTGAACTGAGACCTGAGTGCAAGGAATTAAGGTGGTGAGGAGAAGAGAGCAGATTGTTGCAGGAAGAAGAAGGTGCCTGGGCAAAGGCCCTGAGGTGGAAGATTATAGTATAATATCCCAACCCATCTACCTGTCACCAGCCTTCTTCCCCATCCATCAGCCATTACGGCAGGTCTGTCTCCAAATCTGATTTTATCCTGTTACCTTCTTGTTCAAAATGGATCCCAGTGTCCTACAGGATAAACTCCCAGGTCCCCACTCTGGTGTGGAAGGCTGGTCATAATCTGGGCCTATTCTGTGAATTTAACATTGCTCCATGTCTTCTGTAGTTGCTGGACCTTCATGTCTGCCTGCTTCATATTCCCAACTGGATTTATACCCGAGCCTATGACTATCAGAGTTTATAACTGAGAGGTCAGGAACCATACCCTGCATCTCCTTTGTATTCCCAGGGGGTCAACAGACACCTGAATGCATGGCTCCAGGAATGAGCTTTATAGCAGAGAGCAGGCACAGCTGTGGACAGCCCAGTGAAGAAGCTCTTTAAATCACCCCAGTGAGAGATTGTAAGGCCCTAACTCAGAGCAGAGAGGCTGCTGAAAAGGAGATGAATTAGGAGCTGCTACGGCTTGAATAGGGAGCTCTGGTAGCATAGTGGCTAAGACACTTGCCTGCTAAGGAGACGGCTGGCAGTTCAAACCCACCAGCCACTCCTCGGAAGGAAGGTTGAGCAATCCTACTTCCGTAGTGATACTGCCTTGGAAACCCAAGGAGGGGTCACTATGAGTCGGGTTTGACTCGACGGCACATAACAACAACAACAACATGGCTTGAATAAGGAACCCTGGTGGTGCAGTGGTTAAGCACTCGGCTACGAACCATAAGGTCTGTAGTTCGAACCCACTAGCTGCACCATGAAAGAAACATGAGGCAGTCTGTTTCTGTAAAGATTTACAGCCTTGGTAACCCAATGGGGCCGTTCTGCTCTGTCCTACAGGGTCACTGTGAGTCAGAACTGGCTCAACCGCAGTGAGTTGATGGATTGAATTGGGTCTTCCAAAAGTTGATGTTGAAATTCTAACCCTGTTGGGAAATAGAGGTTTTTCTTTTGTCATGCTAATGAGGACATGTCAGTGTAGCGGGGATCCTAAATCAAATCATTTCAGAGTCACAGAAAGACCAGTTAGACAACAGAGACACACACAGGAGCAAGAAGGACTCCAAGGACCACCAAGGATGGTGGGCAGCCGCCAGACACCAAGAGAGACTCACAGGAGGAATTGGCTGAGACCCTGCTGTGGACTTTCAGCCTCCAGATTGTGAGAACATACATTTCTGTTCACTCAGCCGGCCACTTTCTGTTACTTTAAGCAACTAAGGCAGGAACTATCCAGGAATGGCCACTGGTAGGACTGGGAGGCTGGCTGGACAGGGCGGGTGAGGAGCATTGGAATCTCACTCAGGTTTCTGGCTTGAGTGACCAAGCAGCCGTGTCACTCTCCATCACTACAAGGGGGGTGCAGGAGCAGGACATCGGGGCGGGGATGTGCCAGGGTCCGTCTAGGACATGGCTTTGGGGGGAATGGCCAGTCCTAGAAACCAGGCATGTGATAGGGGATCTGGATGTCCCCCGGCCTGGAGACTGGAACTGGGAAGTCCTGAAGTCCTGCTCTGGGATTTCAGGAACCCTGGAGATAGAATGGGGGCTTTTCTTTATGGAGTCCTCGGGGTTTAGCCCTGTGCTAGAAACTTCCCATCCATCCTGACTCATGTTTCAGACTGAGGAAGCCCAGGCTCGGGGTCACTCAGGCAGGATTTGAAAAAGCCAGCTCTTCTCATCACTGGAAGCTCTGGTGGTGTAGTGCCTAAGCCATTTGACTGCTAACCAGACCCAGCAGCCACTCCTTGGAAGGAGGGTTGGGGATCTACTGCCACAGTGATATACCAACTTGGAAACCCAAGGAGGGGTCGCTGTGAGTCGGATCTGACTCGACGGCAGTTGGTTTCTTGGTTTTCTCTTTGCTGGGCTCTGCCGGCAACAGGAATTGTCCATTCAGATTGCTACCACGGATTTTTCTGAAATATATATATATTTTAAATAAGCTTTCTAGGACTTGAAGATTTACAGAAAAATTATAAAAACAGCACAGAAGGCTCCAGGGTACCCTTCAGTCAGCTTCCCCCATGTTGACATCTCACTACCGTGATGAATTTGTTAGAACGAAGAATGTCACATGGGTGCAGTATCTCAACTAAACCAGGGACAGGCTTCACCCGGATCCCATCAGTTCCTGCTAATGTTCTCTTTCTGTTCCAGGAACCAACCCAGGATCCCACGTTGCACTGAGTGAAACGGTTTTTAAATCTTTATTTTGAGGTCACTGTTTGTCTCCCACTTTTGAAATCAGGACTTTGAAATCAGTGGAGATGCGCTGAGCCGGCCCTCATCGTGTTTGCCCCCAGCTCCATCACTGACTCTGCTCTGCCTCTCAGCTTGCCGTGTTTCCCAGGCCTTGGACAGCTGGCTTCCACTGGGTTTGGCCAATGGGAGGCACTGGTGTTGGCTTGGAGGCCAAGGGAGGAAGGGAGAAGCCAGGAGATTTCTCCTGTCTGCTTTGGTCTGTGGCCAGCAGTGAGTGCCTCTCCACCTGGGCAAGAAACACCTGTGGCTCCTGCATCCCCTGGGTGACCCCAGTCTACGAGCTCACCCTCCCTCCTCCTCCATCACTTGGGCAACCAGTTCCTTGTATGAAAATACTGAGTTTAAATAACCCACCCACTGCCATCTAATCGATTCCGATTCAGAGCAACCCTATAGGGCAGAGTAGAACTGCCCCATTGGGTTTCCAAGGCTGTCACTCTTTATGCAAGCAGACCCAATGCACGTCTGAATCCTGAGAGCAGCATCTCCTTTCCCAGTTTGTCCCTGAGACCAGCCTCCACACACAGTCCTCCTGTCCTGACGGCACTAACACCATCGCAAGTGGAAAGCCTACTTGTATCTCAAGGTTCTGTGTAAAAGTGCCAAGCCCAAGAGGTACTGTCAGCGCCAACTGTTTATGGCTGCTGGGGCCGTGCTAGTCACACAGATGCCACACCACACTCCTGACAGCTTACTCCGTCCTTTTTCAGGATTGCCAGAGGCAATAAAAGTGGGAGACCACCATCAGCTACCAAAGACCCAGTGTCCCAGGGCACACAAAGGCAGAGAAGCCGGCTCTCAAAACGCCTGTCCACATTGTCTCCATAGCTCTTCTCTCCCCGGCCCGGACAGGCCCTGACATCGACGGAATGAGGCTGATGACAACAGAAGCCTCCGAAAGCCAGGCTCCCTGCTCAGTGCCTCTGTCCGCTCTAAGACCAAATGTGGGAACAACGAGGCCCTTATCCCTGTCACAGAGAGCCAATGACCAAAACGGGTTGAAGGGGGAAAGCAAAAGAATTGATTGAGTATCAATACCCAAGGAGACCGAGAATCGTTTCCCTAAGAAGTCTTTCTCCCCAGGCTAAGAAAAGGTTAGGGCTTTTAAAGGGATTTGGCTGAGGGTAGGGGCCTTGAGGATAATATCTTCTTGTTATCAGGATGAGTCGTCTCTTCCTTATGAACTTTCTGCCACTCTGGTCTGTGATGTACGTCAGAATTGTTGTGTAAACTCTGTACTTGTCTGGGAAGATAAACTCTTGGGGGAAAAAAAAAAACAACTCACTGCTGTCTAGTTTTGACTCATAGCAAGCCCCTTTAGGTTTCTGAGGTGGTAAATCTATACGGAAGTGTAGATTGCCCAGTCTTCCTTCTATGGAGTGGCTGGTGGGCTTGAACCCACAGCTTTCTGGTTAGCAGTCAAATGCTTTAGTCACTGCACCACCAGAGCTCCTAGATTAACTCTAAAAAACAAACTCACTGCTGTGGAGTGGTTTCCAACTGATAGCAACCCCTCCTTGGGTTTCCGAAGTGGTATCTCTATAGAAGTAGATTGCCCAGTCTTCCTTCCAAGGAGTGGCTGGTGGGTTTGAACCATCAGCCTTCTGGTTAGCAATCAAATGGCTCAGGCACTATGCCACCAGAGCTCCTAGATTAACTCTAGCCAAAAAAAAAAAAAACAAACAAACTCACTGCCGTTGAGTTGGATCTGACTCAGCGACCCCTCCTTGGGTTTCCAAGGCAGCAATTCTATGGAAGTAGATTGCCCAACCTTCCTTCCAAGGATTGGCTGGTGGGTTTGAACCACTAGCTATCTGGTTAGCAGTCAAATGCCTTCGGCACTATGCTACCAGAGCTCCCGGATTAACTCTGGAGGAGGAGAAAATGTGGGAGTGGGAACACTCAGGCCTCTTGGCTGGGGATGTCCATTTCTTCTTTACCTTGGTTGCTTGGTGTCTCTTTTCTAAGGGCGTCTCAGTCCACAAACTGCAGTTATCAGCTACGAATGGGCAGTGGGCTTATGTCACCTGCTCTAAGGGATGTGTAAAGAAAGGAAACAGCCCACAGTGACTAACCTATTTACCCAGAAGGAGGGAGAGGGAAAAGAAAGATAGAAAATGAACCATAATGGTTAATGTCTACCCTGACCATAGCTGTTAATTTGTTTACTCTGTAATTTCACAGCAAGATGGCTTCTGTAGCCCTTCCACACAAACTGACCACCATCGAGACCAAGAGGATCATGTCCGTCTTGGATGAGGCCATCCGCAAGGTGGAGTTGGTGACCCTGCTGTCAGCCATGGTAGACAATCAGGAGGCTCTGGAGGGCGTGCTGGGGGAGGCCACCGAGAAGGCAGTGAGAGACCACGGGGACCTGTGTAGGACCCTCCTGGACAGCATCAGTGACCTCGATGCCAAGGAAAGGCAGCTGCAAGAGATGGGTGGGCTGGAGGATGGGAGGAGTGTCAGGGACCTGCTGTGCTCCGAGGAGGAGCGGAGAGAAGACATCCTGCCGCTCATGCAGCAGATCAAGGACTCCACGCGGAACACCCTGCGGCTCCTGCTCAGCCACCCCCAGGCCTCCAGGCTCCTGCAGATGCCGGCGCTGGGCAGGAGCCCACAAGCCCAGTGGTTTGTCGACAGCCTGGTAGAACTCCGCAGTTTCCTGCTTGAGAAACTGCTCACTACCCCGCCGGAGGCCAGGGACAAGGCCCTGTTCATACAGGACATCAGCAGGCGGAATAAGAGGAACCAGGACATTGTGGAAGCTCTTGAAAATGAACTGGCAGGAAGCATCAAGAACAGGGATGCCGAGGTATGGCCGTACCGGGTCAGCCGGGTTATGCAAGGAGACACACTGAGAAGGACCCATCTTTGGGTGGTTAGGTTTTTCCCCCATGGTTGAAATGTTGTGAAGTGCTGTCGAGTCGACTTCTACAGAAGCAGGTTGTCACGTCCTCCAGTGATTTTGGCAGAGCAGACCTGCCCCAGAGAGTTTTCTAGGCCGAAATCCTTACCCAAAGAGATGGCCAGGTCTTTCTTCCACTGGGTGGGTTCAAACCACCAACCTTTTGGTTATCAGCTGAGTGCTTAACCATTGTGCCAGCAGGGCTCCTTTACTAGGTCCCAGGCCTTGTAAGTAAGCCCCACATGGTCCCAGCTGAGCAGGGGAGGTAGGTCTGAAAGAGCTGACTGCTTTCATTACAGTTGTGAGAAGGAGAGTGCAGGGTAGGTTCAGGGTGCTATGAAGGAGAGTCCCAAGAGAGCAGAACTTATACCCAAAGGATCAGGGACAGTGAAGCACAATGGGATGGACCAGGCTGGCGTCAGTTAGCTGTAGATGGCGGTGCTAACATTTTCTAATAAGCATTTCTGGAGCTTGTTTATGTGACACTCCCATCCCCACCCACAGACCTAGGGCACGGGACAAGCCAGGGGCTGGCCTCAAGGGAGAGCTGGGCTGCAGGGTTTGGCTTCTCCTCCATCAGTGTCTCTCTCTGCCAGCCGGGCATCCCCAGCTGACCCAGACCCCTCCAGGGGCCTTGTTGGTTCCCCCTATGCCCCTCACTCATGCCAGGAAACAAGATGTGGTGGCTGAGAACGTGGGCACCGACTGGCTGGACCTGCCTGACTTCAAACCCTGGCTCCACTGCACACCCCCAGCCAGTCCACACACCCTTCTAGAGCCTGTTTCCTGTTTGTAAAGTGGGCTGGCCCTGTCCCCGTGGAGGGGTTGCAGGGAGGGGTGGGTGAGGTAATGACGCAGGTGGGGTGCCTGGCCCTGAGTGAGCATGCAGTAATGGCTGTGGCCAGTGTCAGATTACCTAATGAGCAAAGTAAGCATGGGCCTACTTGTGCTTACTTACTAATCTATAATGAACAATTTCACATTTTCTCACCACATCAGAGCTTCTGCTTCTTGGCATGCATGGCATCTGCCTGTCTCCTGACTCCATAGCACCTTCCTACAGAGTCAAAGCCTCTTTTCAAATTTACAGTCCCTGGCAGGGACAGAGTACCCAATAAGCAAAGTAAGCACAGGCTTACTTGTGCTTAGTTACTCATCTGTAGTGAAGTTTCTCATGTTTTTCATGGGATGCCCATGTGAAATCATTCACTACAGATGAGTAAGGAAGCAGAAGAGAACCCTCGTCTACTTTGTGTATTGGGTACTCCGCCCCTGGCCGCAGCTCCTGGGATCCCCGTCAGTCATCGTGTGGGGATTAAGGAGCTCCTCTTCTTGCTGGCCCAGGTGGAGAAGGAGAACTTTGTGATCCAAGAACTGAAAAACCACCTGCACCAGGTGCACAAGTTCTCAGAGAGCAGCCTCGTCCGCACCAAGCAAGAGGCTAAGAAGCAGCAGAAGGCGGACTTCCGGGCCTCGAAGGCCAGGAAGGCCAAGATCCAGCAGGAGATCCTGCTGCTGCAAACGCAGTACCACAACCTGGTGATGGAGAACCGGGAGCAGGAGCAGGCACTGAGGAAGGTGCCTGGGACGGCGGGGGGCGGACGTCCCTCCCCTCCCTGAGGCCCAGCAGTGTTGGGGCATGCCAGCTACTTGGGGAGCCCCGGTCCCCCCCGGGAGGCAAGAGGGTGCAGCAGGTAGGCCCGGGGACCTGCGGCAGAGAGACCTGGGTCCCCTCCCCAGCATGGCTGCATGCCAGCTGGAACTTCTCTGTTTTGCACACGGCTGTGTCCCCAGCACCTGAACAGTGGCTCAAAGAGTAACTGTGGTGTGAAGGAATAAATGGGGAAAACTGAGGCTGAAACGAAGTTCTGGAGGCTTAGTCAGGTGAGGTCCTAGTCTCTATGAAAGGCAGACACTGCTCACTTGGTATGTTCCAGAAACCATGCAAAGTGCTGTCAGTCTCATTCGGTCCTCTTCACAATCCTACGGGTAGCCCCCTTTATCTTACTGGTCGTCTTACAGACAGCAGAGCGGGCTCAGGGAGGTGACGCAACTTGCTTTAAAGCTTTAAAGCATGGTGCAGGGATTTGAACCTAGGTCTCCCTGCTCCAAGGCCAGGAATGATGCCTTCGAGAAGGTCAGGGTCCAGGGGCTTCTGTGCAGGGAGAACAGGAGGCTTGGCAGAACTGCGTTCTCTAACACATTGTCTGAGCACCTACTATGTGCCCAGAATGCTGCTTTGTAGTGTCTGGTTCTGCCAACTCTTTCGCTTGTCCTCTTTATAAACTAGGGAAAACTCTTCCTGATTCCCTCCTTCTTCACAGAGTACTATGAAAATAAATGTCACCCCGCGAGCTGGAGCTGCCAGGGAAGCACTGGAAATGCAGGCGCTAGTCTCTGGGCAGGAGCGCGGTCTCCTGCGGCCCTCACTGCCCAGCCCGGTGACCCTGGGCCACCGGCTTCTGCTCTCCCAGCCTCAGTTTCCCCACCTGTAACAGAGGGGTAATCCCGGGACCAAGCGCTCCAATGGTTGTGATGAGCCAGGGGCAATAGTAAAAGCACCTGGTGTTTGCTGGGTGTTTGTTCTGTGCCAGGCACCAGAGCCCCTGCTGGGCGTTGAGGCCTGAGAGAACGTTCCGGAGTCAGACTGCTGGCTTCACATGCACGACTTCACGTCTGAGCCTGTTTCCTTGTCTGTGCAATGGGGACCATAGACCCAACCTTGTGCGCATTCACGAGGCGAGCGTGTGGGGCTCCCACCAGGGCCTGACGCAGAAGCTCTCGGCGGCCTGTCATTAGTGTGGCTCCACCCAACAATGACCGCTTGCCTTCTTTCTCTTTAGAAGAAATACAAAGTGGAGACGGAGATAGAGAACTGGATCCAGAAGTACGACATGGAGATGAGTGAAAAGCAGGTACGTGTCCCCGAGTTGGTCTCTTTGAAGATGCTCTGGGCACGGGAGGGGAGCCCCAGGATGGGCCGTGGTTTGTGTCAGGTTCTGAGCCCGAGAGAAGCCCTGGAACAGGGCTGCACCGGCTTCTGCCCTGCCCCTGCCTGGGGCAGAGAAGGACCAGGTGCGAAAGGAGGAAGGCAGAAGCCCTGAGCCACTAGGAAGAGGTGCCTGGACCCGGCCAACGAACTTGGCTCCATTTAGTGTCCACATGCCATACTCCTCTGCTTCCTCCTGGCTCAGCTCCAGCCAGCACCCTGCAGTGGGACACCCCCCGACAGACGCCGGCATGAGGCCCCTCCAGTATCACACCCAGCCTTTAGCTGGTGCTCACTGAGCCCCTGAGATGGGCCAGGTGCCGGGGCTGCAGCAGTGAGAACAACAGAGTGTCCCTCACCAGCTGTGTGACCTTCAGCAAGGGACTCGACCTTTCTGAGCCCACTTCTGTATCTGGTCCCCGTCGCGGACCACGATGAGCACGAGACACAGCATTGCCATGCATGCTTTTACCCAGCACAGGGCCTGGCCTGGAGGGAGTGCTCAGGGAGGTAGCGTACAGACCGGGGCACCCCTGAGCCCGCCGCCATCTGGGCACTAACTGTGGCCCCTGGCCCTGACCCGGGAACAGGACGGCCTGGGAAGCGCAGGAGACAGCAGCAGCTCCTGAGTGGCCAGAGCAGTAGTGCTGCCCGGAGCAGACAAGTGGGCCAGGGAGGCAGGCTTTGGAGACCGAGGCCAGAGGGGCTCTGGCCAGAGCAGTAGTGCTGCCCGGAGCAGACAAGTGGGCCAGGGAGGCAGGCTTTGGAGACCGAGGCCAGAGGGGCTCTGGCCAGAGCAGTAGTGCTGTCCGGAGCAGACAAGTGGGCCAGGGAGGCAGGCTTTGGAGACCGAGGCCGGAGGGGCTCTGTCTATCACCCCTCTGTCCTCTGAAGGGCTTCACTTGAGTCAGTGGAAGGAAAGAGAGAGGAGAGGAGGAAGGAGGGCGAGGTGATGGGAGGAAGGAAGAGAGGGAGGGAGGATGGAGGTGAGAAAGGAAGCAAGGGCGGAAGGGAAGGAGAGGGAGAGAGAGATGTAGCTACAGCCGGGAGAGGCTGCAGTTAGACATAAAGGCTTTGGGACGCTGTCACTTGTGGAGGTTCCAGAAAGTCCCCTCTGGGTGTCTTTGTAACAGCATCTCCCTGTCTCGTACCCCCCCACTGTGTGCCTGGCATCGGGTCTACAGCATTGCATGCATCGTGTCACTTAACCCTACAAACAGCGTGGGGTTGGGAATGGGCCTCTGGTATGGAGGAGGTAAAACAGAGCCTTGAGGGGTGAAGCCCCTCACGGGGTGACGGGGCTGGGCTTTGAAACTCAGTTGCCCAACTCCCAGCCCATGTGTTTTTTCTCCCTATTCCTGAAATGCTTTCAGTTGGATCCTGCCTGGAGCTAGAGTGAATTCCATCACCTCTTAGTCTGGGCGAGATTGGTGGGGGTGTTCAGGAAGGGTGGGGTGCAGGTGTAGGAGGGTGACCCCATCGCCTCTTAGTCTAGGGGGTATGGTGGGGGGATTGGGAAGGGTGGGGTGCAGGTGTAGGAGGGTGACCCCATCGCCTCTTAGTCTAGGGGGTATGGTGGGGGAATTGGGAAGGGTGGAGTGTGTGTGCAGGACGGTGGCCCCGTCACCTCTTAGTCTGGGCAGGGTTGCTGGGGGAATTGGGAAGGGTGGGGTGCAGGTGTAGGAGGGTGACCCCATCGCCTCTTAGTCTAGGGGGTATGGTGGGGGGATTGGGAAGGATGGAGTGTGTGTGCAGGACGGTGGCCCCGTCACCTCTCAGCGCAGGCGGGGTTGCTGGGGCATCGGGCTGGGTCGCGTGCCTGCAGGAGGCTGCAGGCCTGGTGCCCTCCCCAGGCGGAGCTGGAGGAGCTGGGGGCCATCCACAGGGAGGAGAAGGTGCAGCTGGAGGAGCTGAAGCAGAAGCGCGACGTGCTGGCGGAGGAGTACTCCCAGATCCGCGCAGAGCGGGAGATCAGCTCCAAGAAGAGGCTGGAGGCCGAGGAGCAGCTGGCGCTCATGGTGCGGGCCGCCACGCTCATCCAGGCCATGTGGAAGGGCTACCTGGTCCGCTCCATGCTCAAGTCCAAGAAGAAGAAGCGGGGCAAGGGCAAAGCGAAGGACAAGTCGGCCAAGGAGAAGGCCAAGGGCAAGGAGAAGGCCAAGGGCAGGAAATGAGCCCTCCCACCCAGGAGCCCGTGCACTTCCCTCCCAGAGATCAACCAGGAAGCCCCTGGAACGGAGAGCCCTGTGCTTCCACGGTTATTTAAATTAAAGAACATTTTAGACACAGCCTACCAATAAACCTCACTTTACCAGGGCTTTGTGCGTGCTTGCAGCCATCTCTGAGAGGAGCGGGAAGCCTGGGGTGCAGGAGCAGGGGTCAGCAGCCGACACACAGCTGCTGTGGCCTCGTCACCAGCCCGGGTGGGGAGGTGGGGGTGTCAGCTGTTGCAGGGGCCAGGGCAGGCGAACTCCGGGAACAGGGCCTCCCTTGGGGTGTGGGCTTGCTCTGGGATTATCAACGAGCTGCACAGGAAAGCTCCGTGGGAGCCCAGGTAGTGGAGATGTTTCTTAATTAGTTGCTGGCATTTAGAGAATCAGGGCTGTGACCTGCGGACCTAGCTTTCTGCCTTGTCTGGAAGAATCTCATCCTTAGCGCACCGGGGCCTCTGTCCCCACAGGCAGCCATTGTCTGCCTCCCTGAGGCCGCCCCAGTCCCCACAGTGTCCCCAACAGGCCCCTTCCCAACTGGGCCATCGTCTCTTAGTGCAGCTGGGTAGGGAGACAAATGCCAGCCAGCTGTTCTGTTTCAAAAGAACCGGGAAGGAGGGGCCCCATCCTCTGTGGAAGTTCAGAAAGTCTAAATATTGGTCCTTAAGATACATGGTACACCTGTGTCCACGGAATGCCACTGGCCTACTCTCCTGGTGGCCCACCTACCCTGCAGGCATTGGTACCAGTGACCCTGGCCCAGCAGCATCCACTCTGCCCTTCCCCCTCCCCAAGCCATGCGGCCCCCAACGGGCTCCTGTGCGGGGAGATAGGGGCAAAGTGAGACCCCAAACCTGGCCCCCACCCCCAAATCCGAGATCGCAGAGTTGGCGCGGGACCGGGCAGTGTTTTGTTCTTCTGTGCATAGGGTCGCTATGAGATGACTCAACGGCACCTACCAACCACCCCCACCCCCAAATCAAGCAGGGCAAAGGCTGGGGCCTAGGGGCCACCCTGGCTTTTGCTGTCTTTCCTTTGTGATGCACCCCCCCCCCCCCCAGCTACAGGAGCAGAGCCAGCCAGCACCTGGGCTTGCTCTGAAAGCTTAAAGGCAAAGGCAACTTGGAGGCTTTTCAGACCCCCTTCTGGCAAAAGCTAAGCCATTGTTTACTGGAAAAGTGTGAAGTGCTTGCACTATACAAGCATACCTCATTGAGCTTTGCAGTATTTTACAAATTGAAGGTTCAAGGCCACACACCTTTTTCTAGCAGCATATGCTCACTTCCTGTCTCTCACATTTGGGGCAGCATAGTGCCTAAGGCACTTGGCTGCTAACTAGAAGGCTGCCGGTTCAAACCCACCAGCCACTCCTCGGAAGGAAGGTTGGGCAATCTACGTCTGTAGTGATACTGCCTCGGAAACCCAAGGAGGGGTCACTATGAGTCGGATCTGACTCGACGGCACGTAACAACTTATCAAACTTTTTCACGCTACTGCACACTTAGCAGATGACAGGATAGTGCAGACATAACCTACATGCACCGGGAAACCAAAGAACTCTTGGCTGGCTTTAGCTCGATGGTCACGTTATTGCAGTGGTCTGGAACCGAACCCATAGGATCTCCGAGGTGCCCCTTTATAGGATTTCAAAACTGAACTATGGGCCTTATTCTGTGTTCAGGAGCGACCAGCCTTGACCTACCAGTCACTGGCATTAGCAGGAAGGCAGGGACTCGAGGGGCTCAGTGTGCCTGCGTCCCCCATCTCTGTAATGCCTACGGTATTAGTTTGTTTTTCAAATCCACTCATTTCTAACTCTGGTTTTATCTTAAGGGGGAAAGATCAGAAACCACCACTGATTTGACAGATTTAATACACGAGGATCCCTGACCATCTGTTCCCATGTACCATCCCAGATCCTCCCACGTCCCCGTGTGCACACGGTGCCTGGGGTCTCTGGGGCCTCCCGCCACCACTGAAAGGACTCGAAGCGGGGCAAGGAACCTTTGGTCTCAGTTGGCAATCACATCATTTGTTCACACTCAGCAGCAAGGTGGTGTGTGGGCTTGATGGGGGTGGGACAGAGCTCCTCCCCAGGGGCACGAGGGTTGGCACTGATGAGGGGCGGGGCTAAGGCACAAGCACCTCAAGGAGGCCTCCCCGTAGGTCAGGGAAACTGAGAAGCAGGAAGCAACTGCAGACTGTCAGGAAGAGGGAGGCACTGCCCCAGCTGCTTCTCCCACGCCCAGGAGCTGCCCCCACCAGTGCCATCCTCTGAAGCCACGCCCATCACCTTGATCTCCTGGGCAAACCCAATGCCAGGACCTCATTTCCAAGGGGGCTTTGTCTTCCGGGGAGGCCCACCTCGCTGGGGGGTGGCTGGCACTGACATACTGATGGAGTAAGCCTTAGGGGTCACCAGGGGGCTCCGGAAGGTCACCCCCGACAGGTTCCCAGGCCCATTGGCATGAGAGGTACTGGGGGGTGAGCGAGCAGTGCTGGGGGTGTTCAGGTGGGTGAGAGACTGGGACCGCCCCCGCCGCAGAGGGTCTGGGGCGTCTAACCCATCCAAGGGCAGCTTCTGGGAGTTTGCCACGACCCTGGACTCTGCCTTGGAGGGGCTGGCTGGGTGCACAGCTCGAAGCGGGGTCTCCCTGGGCTGGGATGAGTGGCTGCCCCTGGGAGTAGTGGGGGGCGTCCAGAACAGGGCTCGGAGCCTCGCAGCATCCCCATTCCTAATCCACGGGGCCTCCCAGCCTGCACCCTCGGGCCGGGAGCCAAACAGTGACTCATCACAGTAAGACGGAGTGTGGCTGATCAACCTGGCAGAGGGAAGAGAAATGCAGTGAGCTGAGACATAACCCCCAAACCTTAGTACCGCCCAGCACCCCAGCAGCAGAAGGGGCTGCCTGCAGATCCCCAGAGTTCCTGTCATCCAGCCAGGCCCAACAGAGAGGGGAACCCTGCCCCTGGCATCCTGCCCTAATCCCCCAGCATGTGCCCCAAGATCCCATGGGCAAACCCAATGACAGGACCAGGGCTGTCATTCAAGTGGACTTGATTTCTGGGGGGACCCCACCTCGTCGGGGGGTGGCTGGCACTGCCACCTTGGTGGAGTGAGCCTTGGGCATCACCAGGAGGCTTTGAAGCCTGGCCAATCAGGTCCCACAGCAGGTGAGCAGCAGGGCTGGCACAGGGATGCAGTTGGCTGCAACAAGTATAGGTGCATCTCCCCACCCTGCTACCTGTATTTGTTCTTCTTCCTTGGTGTGAGAGTCGGGGTGCTGCCCCTGGACGGGGTGCTCTCACAGCTTCCATTGGCCCCTGAGGCCTGTGATGCCCCCATGCTCGCTTTCCTGGTTCTGTTGGTCTTTTCCACCCAGGGCGGGTCGAAATCTGGTGGGGTGGGCCGGGTACCCACAGGGCTGCCAAACAGAGTCTCATCCACGTATGATGCCCTGGCCTTGAGCCGGCGGCTGCCCCGGCAGCGGTGCTGAAGGTGGACAGTCTGCATTGTGCTGACGCCCACCTCCACGGGGGTCCTCAGGACTCACATTGGGTGTGCTCTGCCTGCCAGGCCTCGCCTGCAGGCCTGCCTGTGAAAGGGGTACCACAGGGCTGGTGAGCAAGACTGGTGGCTCCGAATCCCACCGACTCTCCTGATGAAGAAGGGTCCAGTTCTTCTCAAGGGGGAACAGCCAACCTCAGGGCATTTTGGTAGAGTGTTTCTATTGTCACAATGATTGGGGGAGGCACTACTGGTAAATATTTAATGAATGAATAAACAAATGAGAGGATAGTTCACCGGTATACAGTGGATGCTATAAATATTTATGTAACAACTGGGGAGATGAGCAATGGGGCCTGTATCCATTTGAAACAAACTATGGCAAGAAGGGGACACAGGAAGGTCCCTAGTGACACATCCTGTGTACATTTAAAAGGGTGAGGCTGAGGGCAACCAGGGTGGATTGGATGCTCACTTGGTGCAAAGTGGTTGATAAGCATCCTCTCGTTGAAGCTTCTCAACAGCCCCTTGAAGTAGCCTGGATTTTGTCCATTTCACAGATGACAAAACTGAGCCTTTGAGAAAGGTGATGAGGTCGCATGTAGGCCACACCTAGAAACTGGTGGAAAGGGAATTTAAACCTTTTACGGATTGAGAGATCGCTGGGTGGTGCAAGTGGTTTATGCTTGATTGCTAACCAAAAACGAGCTCTGATAGTATAGTGTCTAAGGCACTTGGCTGCTAACCAGAAGGCTGGCAGTTCAAACCCACCAGCCACTCCTCCGAGGGAAGGTTGGGCAATCTACTTCGTAGTGATACTGCCTCGGAAACCCACGGAGGGGTCGCTATGAGTCGGGTCCGACTAGATGGCACAGAACAACAACAGCTAACCAAAAGGTTGCCAGTTCGAACCCACCCAGGGGCACAGCAAAAGAAAGGCCTGAAGATCCGCCATAAAGGTTGCAGCCAAAAACTCTACAGAACGGTTCTGCTCTGTTAACACATGGGGTCGCCTTGACTCTTAATCTACGAAACCCGCTTGTTTTTTAGTTTCTCCTTTTTGGGGGTATGAGTCTGAAAACCTGTGCACTTACCCACTCTACTATTGCGGGATCACCCCCACACACCCTCAACTCCCCGCTGCTCCCTGGTTAATGCCGCAGGGCTCTACACTTTCGAGCTACTCTCTTACCTGGGCATCTCGGCTGGCGGCCAGCACCCAGCCTCTGTCGCGCGCGCCCCCTCCCCACTATGTCAGGACCCCACTGCTGGGGCGCACGAGCACCGGGGCTCACGAGCACCCAGGGCGCCCTGTGCATCTGTGATCGCAGATGGGACGCATCCAGGAATCCCGGAGCCCAGGCCGCCCCCGGCCCTCAGCGCGGACGCACTCACCCGGCACAGCCAGGACCTAGCGACGTCGGCGCGCACATCCAACAACAACCACAGCGCAGCAGGGCCTACGCGGCCGGAACCATTCCTGCCGGAGGGGCGCCCGTCGCTGACGCCCTAGGGACCTCCCAAAACGAGAGGGTTCCCCAGCCAGTTGGGGATTTATATACCAGGCTTCGCGAGGCTGTAGGCGTGTCGCAGCCGGGGCGCTGGACCAGGCGCCCCCCGCCCCGGCCGCGCAGTTGGTGCGGCCCGCAGGCTCCGCCCCCTCCCGTCTCTATCCACTGGGCTCGCATGGCGGCCGGCACGCGCTCCGCGGCCGGACCCCGGTCCCGAGAAACTATGGCCCAGTGGAAGAAAAAGAAGGGGCTCCGCAAACGCCGGGGCGCGGCTTCCCAGGCCCGCGGCAGCGACTCGGAGGACGGCGAGTTTGAGATTCAGGCGGAAGACGATGCCCGGGCCCAGAAGGTGGGAGCGCGGGACTGAGATACGCGTCGGGGCCCGGCCCGTTTGCGACTGGGGGGCCAGGAGTAGCGTCGCGGCCTTAGTTTCCCCCGCTGGGGATGGGCACGACGGAGGGTGGGATCGGAGTCCGCTTGCCCAGCGGCGGGGACTCAGGCCCACCAGCCTGACCACGTGTCTCGGGGTCTGTCACTCCAGTCTCGAGGCTCCGGCAAGCTAGAGATCCCCAGGTTTAGGGGTAGTGCCTGCGGGCCTTGCTGGCTGGCGTCTGATCGCGCGCCCCTCATTGGCTACTTCCTGCCTAGGAGGCGAGTCCTAGCTTCCGTTAGCCCAACGAGAAGTGCAGTGCGGGTGAAGATCCTCTTCTTGAGTTTGGGGCATGCTTTGCAGTTTGCTTTAAGGGCAAGACAGAGAGCGACGCCCCCAGATCTCCTGGGAAACTAATAATAGATTTTATTTAGAACTTGTTGAGCGCTTATCGGGTGCCACGCCCGGTGCTAAGAAGTTTACAGGCCTTGTTCAAACCCACCAGCCACTCCTCAGAAGGAAGGTTGGGCAATTCTCCTTCCGTAGTGATACTGCCTCGGAAACCCAAGGAGGGGTCGCTATGAGTCGGGCCGACTGGACGGCAAATAACAACAACAACAACAACATATACAGAGAGGAGCTCTGGTGGCGTAGCACCTAAGGGATTTGACTGCTGACCAGAAGGCTGGTGGTTCAAACGCACCAGCCACTCCTTGGAAGGAAGACTGGACAATCTACTTCTGTAGAGATGTTGTTGTTGTTACCGGCCGTGGAGTCGGCCCTGACTCATAGTGACCCCTCCTTGGGTTTCCGAGGCAGGATCACTACGGAAGTAGGATTGCTCAACCTTCCTTCCGAGGAGTGGCTGGTGGATTTGAACCGCCAGCTTTCTGGTTAGCAGTCAAGTGCCTTAGGCCCTATGCTACCAGAGCTCCTTCTTACTAATTAGCACTCTGTAAATGTGATTTCTGAGAGGAAGGGAACTGCTTTATCATCTGAGAAGGCTCCCCAGAGGAGGCATCCGGGTTGGATTTAGCTTAAGGGCAGGTGGGTCCTGACAGGTAGAGGCCAGGGGAGAAAAGCCAAAGTTGGGGTGGGGTGATGAACCAGAAAGGAGGTTGGGGAGGGCATTAAGATAGCTTGGAAAAGTCTAGTACCTTCCACATAGTAGGTTTTTTGATTGACTCCTTACAGTTAATTTTGAGAGTTTGAATGACAGGCCGGGTGATGGAGATGAGGATGATACCGACACAGCCGTTTCAGCTTCACAGCAGCCCTCTGAGGCAGATGCTCTTGTCATCCCCATTTTTCAGGTGTGGAAACTGAGGCTCACGGAGATTAAGTCACTTGCCTGAGGCCTCACAGCGGATGATGTCAGAGCTGGGATGCGAACCCCAGGCAGTGTGCCTCCAGAGCCCACATTCTAAACCTCTAGCCTATCCTGGCCTAGTCATGGGAGAGACTTTGAGAAGTCATGTGACCTGTTGCCAGGACAGCCCCTCCCCCTGCCTCCAGCGATCTGACTGCCTGAAGTGACACTGCCTCTCCAATCTCCCCTCTCAGCTGGGCCCTGGCAGACCCCTGCCCACCTTCCCCACCTCGGAATGCACTTCGGATGTGGAGCCGGACACTCGGGAGATGGTGCGAGCCCAGAACAAGAAGAAGAAGAAATCAGGAGGCTTCCAGTCCATGGGTGAGTGAGCTGGGCATCCGGAGGCCTTAGGGGATCAGTGACAGGGGTCATCATACCCTCTGTACTCGATTACTGATGTCTGCTCTGGGCCCAGCATGGTGGTGGGTGGTTGAGACAGCAGACGTGGTCTTCAGGTATTCAGGGCCTGACACATAGGAGAACAGTTAGGTAGGACAGGACTTGGAGAAGTAGATTCTGGTACAGGAACAGGGAAAGACTCTTGAGGGTTTACTGCAATCAAACAGCAGTTCATCCCAGGGGCCGAGGGGGGCTGGTTGGGCAGTGGCCTTGGAACCCTGGCTAGTTATTGGGAAATAAAGTTGATCCCCTCCCTTGCTCTGTATAAATCAGTGGCAGCTGAAGCAAAGATCTGAATGTCAAGGTGAATATTTTTATAATCTTTGAAAGGAAAAGAAAGCCACCCAAGTGTGAACACTGCTTAGTCTGATTTGATTTTTTTTTTTTTTAATTAGGCATATCTCTGGCCAAAAAAAAAAGCCCACTGTAAAATAAAATTTTAAAAAAGTCATATTTGTAACTTGCAGGACAGACAAAGGGTTAATATCCCTAATATACACAGAGCTCTTACAAATGGATAAGGAAAAGACAGACACCCTGATAGAGACATGGGAGAAGGAAGAGAACAGTTCACAAAAGGAATCTATGTGTCCAGTTAACATATCAAAAATGTGCCAGGCATCATCAGAAGTCAAAGAAAGACAAGTAACAACGTTTCTTTGTGGCAGAGATGAAAGGTTGACCACAAAGTAGCCAAGACTGTAGTGCTTCCCTCCCCCCGACACCTTCCTCTCCCCCCATCTCCACATGGCCATGTCCTATTCGGTCGCCCAAGGCCACCTCCTCCCCTGTGTGTCTGACTTCTCAGCACCCACACATGCACCTGTCATGTATGTAGAAAATTTCGAACATAAAGAAAACTAGCTGGAATGTCAGTCTTGTCTCATGCATGCCCTCCCTACCTCTGGGGTGATCCTGAAGCCAATCCCAGACACTGTACCAGTGTGTCTGTAAATTCCTTGTACATACCTCTGAGACACGCGGTGCCTTCCACACCTAACACAAATGAAGAGTTCCTCTATCCACCCAAGACCCAGCCACTGCTCAGAGTTCCCCGCTTGGCTCATGACATTTTTAGCAGTCTGTTCTGATCAGAATCCAAATAAGATTTACACATCGCAATCAGTAGTTTTGTCTCATTTAATCTATAACTTTCTCCTTTGTTGCTTTTCTCAAGAGCCAGACAGTCAATATTTTCAGCTTTGTTACAACACTGTAACCACAGGTAGTATGTAAGTGAATGGGTGTGACTGTGTCCCAATAAAATTTTATTGAAAAAAAAAAAAAAAAAACAGACATTGGATTTGGCTCTAAGGAACCAGGATGGAGATGGGTGGGGCACAGTCTAGGAAGTCCCCAGAGGCTAGACAGTATTGAGCCAGCTTCCTTCCCTCCCTGCCCCTGAGGTGGGCTGTCCTACCAGGCCTGGCATCTTAATTAACCACAGAAACAGCTGACACTTAGTGGACACTGGAATGTCTCAGCTCAGTCCTCACACCTTCAAGGGAGGCATGGCTGTGGCCTCTAAGGTCCAGATGGGGACACCAAGGCCTGAGAGGCTGAGCCGCTTGAGTCACACAGCTGGGATTCGAACTCGGGGTCTGTTGAGGGTGAATGTTGGAGGGGTTCCTCAGCCCTGACTGTCCCTGTCTCTCCCCAGGCTTGAGCTACCCCGTGTTCAGAGGCATCATGAAGAAGGGCTACAAGGTGCCAACGCCCATCCAGAGGAAGGTGCGCAGCAGGGGCTCAGTCTGCAGGGAGGGATGAATGACCCAGCCCTCCCGTACAGCCTGTGACAGCCTCCCGCCACCCCGGCTGTCACTCCTGTCACCCCTGTTATCCCGATTGAAGCCCCACTGAGCTTGCCCATCTTGCACATGGAGGAAGTTGAGCCCAGCGTAGCAGAGACTGGAACCAGGGCCTCTGCCCATAAGCCTCCCCAGGGCTGCCACTGCTGAGTTCCTGCCAGGCATCTCACAGCACCCCATTCTCACCTGGGGCTCACAGTTGCTGCCTGCAGGCACTTAGCCAAGGTGGAGACACGTTTCTCTGAGGTCCTTAGGAGGAGGACTAGACAGAGAGGTAGAGTCTAACTCAATCTGAGGAGTGTTGCGTCAGTGGAAAGATTTGGGGGTAGTGAGCGGCTCATGCCTGGAGGTATGCAAACAAGCTCTTGCAAGAATGAGGTCAGGGCGAGTGACCGGCCCCTGCTCCCCAGGGACTTGAAGCTCCGGGTCGCGTGATGTTGGGTACAGGCGCCCGCCCCTCCCTCACCTCTCTTCTGGCTCCTCTCTAGACCATCCCAGTGATCCTGGATGGCAAGGACGTGGTGGCCATGGCCCGCACGGGCAGCGGCAAGACGGCCTGCTTCCTCATCCCCATGTTTGAGCGGCTCAAAGCCCGCAGTGCCCAGACCGGGGCCCGCGCCCTCATCCTCTCGCCCACCCGGGAGCTGGCCCTGCAGACCATGAAGTTCACCAAGGAGGTGTGTGGCCGCCGGAGTGGGAAATAAGTGGGCTGACCTGGGACCCGTCAGGGAGGTGCGAGTGGGCTGTGTTGTCTCCCCTTAACCCTGTCTCTCTCTCTCTCTCTCTCTCTCTCCCCCCACCCTCCACAGCTGGGCAAATTTACAGGCCTCAAGACTGCCTTGATCCTGGGCGGGGACAAGTAAGAGCACACACACACCACACACCGTGCCCCAGGGTATTGGGTGGATCGAGCGAGTGTCAACTGTTAATCGAGGTCATGGCAGCTTCTCTGCACATCCAGAGGAAACCAGGAAGGGGAGACACGCAGTAACAGTGAAACAAATTAGCCACACCAGCAGACGCTTCAGAAATCATGGCCATGTTCCAGAAAGCAGACTGTGGGCTCAGTGTCAGTGTCGCTTACCTGGGGATAATTCAGTGTGTGTATCTTCATTCTGGTGGTGTAGTGGTTAAGGCATTTGGCTGCTAACCCTGAGGCCAGCGGTTCAAACCTGCCAGCAACTCTGTGGAAGAAAGTTGGAGCAGTCTGCTTCCATAAAGGTTTACAGCCTTGGGAACCCAGTGGGGGTCGCTGTGAGTCAGAATCAACTCAGTGGCAGTGAGTTTGGTTTAGAGTTTTATATATATGTATATATTCCTTTTTAAGGGAGTTCTGGTGGCTCAGTGGCTGAGGCATTTGACTGATGACCAGGGCTGGTGGTTCAAACCCACCAACCACTCCTCAGAAGGAAGATTGGACAATCTACTTTCATAGGGATACCACCTCCGAAACCCAAGGAGGGGTCACTATGAGTCAGGATCGACTTGATGACAGTGAATTTTGTTCCTTTTTAAAATTTTACTTACTTTGTTGTTGAGAATTTATGCAGCAAAAGATACACCAATTCACCGACCGGTTTCTGCTTGTACCGTGCAGTGACATGGATGATGTTTTTCAAGTTGTAGGACCATTCTCACCCTCCTCTGAGTTGTCCCTCCCTCATTAACATGAACTCACTGTCCCCAACGTTCTTGTCTAGTTGTTCAGGTTGCTTTTGTGAGTCTCATAGATCTGGGAGGAGCATGATGCTTAAGGCAGACTGTTTGACTCCTTGAGCTAAACTGTTGTTTGAACTATTGAAGACGTCGGGGTGTTTCTGGTTTCAGGTTTAAAGATGATCTCAGGGCAGCCGTTCAGGGGTTCATTTAGCCTCCGCGACTCCAGGAAGCCTGGAGTCCATGAGAATTTCAAATCCTGTCCTGGGTATGAATATTTTTAGATGCCTCGTTGTGGGTTGTTTGAAAGTCAGACGCACCAAGATCAAGGAGTGTTGGTAACAGCCTAGGTTTGCAGGGCGTGACATGCTTGTCCCATCCTTCCAGGCAGCAGGTGCCACACCTATTACGCAGATAAGTGGACTGAGGACGGGATGCGCCTAGGGCCATGCAGTGGTGCG